CATACGGTTTCTTTTTTCTTTTTTTTTTTTTTTAAACCTTGATGGAATGGAGCTTTAGACTATGCAGAAACACTTTTTTTAATGCTAATTACATTAATTTCAACAATGCTTCTGTGCTGTAAGGAAAGAGTAGATCCATCTAGATCTTAAAAATCTACTAACTCTGGTCCTTGTGGAGCAAATTACATAGCACGTGGCAAAGAAACCAGGCACATGAAAGGAAATATGAAAAGTCAATGGAATTCATGAATTTTAAGAACTTTCTTTTGGGGAGCTGCATGAAAATAAATTCCTGGGAATGCCTTTTCTGAGCAGAGCAGCATAAAATCCAGGGGATGGGCAAAATCGAAATAGCTGAAGTCAGTTCTGTTAAGCAAACCTCTGGGTACTGGAGAAGGGTGGCAATGTATTGGAGAGGATAGAGCTGAGCCCTGGGGAGCTCAGCTCACCTCTCCACCCCTCCAGTGCTTTCTCATGCGACCTGGAGCAAGTCACCAAAGTGGATCCATCCCCCAGGAACCATCATTTGCAAATAAGCAGTGTGTCATATTTGTTAAAGAGGCTGTGTATGGAATCAGATCTGTATATTGAACATTTTGTACAAGTCACAATTTCTCCTCTGCATTTTCCTTCCATTGTGGCCTTCACACTAGTATTTTGTATTTATTGATGATAACACCATAGTTAAGTTCTTTTTTGCATATCCCATTCTTAATCAGCTGAGTATCTAAACATGTATCGTTTTACCATCTTTTCACACTTCTAGAATACATAATTCATACTGCTTCTTCTTCTGACCTTGGTGGAATGGAGCTGCAGACTATGCAGAAACACATCCTTTTTTTTTAACAAAACCAAACAAACAAAAATCTTTAAAGTTCAGGCAATACTATAAGAATTAAAAACAGTCATATTGAACCACACCATCTAGCTCAGCATTTTTTTTTTCTGATAGTGGCCAATGTTGGATATGTTGGCAAGAGAACAGAGAGAAGGCAGGGCTGCTTCCCCACAATATTCCTCCAGACCTCAACAAATTGCAGCTCAAGATTTTCTGGGCCAGAAGTGGGGTCTTTACCTTATAACTCCTAGAAACTAATTTGACAATGAAATCCAAGTAAAGCACAGCAGTAGATTTGGGGTTTCATGCCAAAGGACTAGAGCTTCAAATCCTTCGTGTCCTCTGTGTGTCAGCACACCAAGAGCAGGGCAGGATCATGAGCTACCACAGCAGAAGTAACCACAATCTCAGCCATGACTGAGTCTGCAGGTGACGGTGCCTTATTGGCAACCATGTAGACCATTGCCTGTCAGCAACGTGAGGTCTGGGAGAGCAGCTCCTGCCCTGTGTTGCACCTGCAGAGCTTCACTTCTTCGCCTTGCTCCTAGTGTTCAAGTTACTGCTCCTGCCCTGCAGCAAATGCAGAATGAAGGGTTGGAACAAGAGGAGTTCCTTCAACGGCTGCGCCCGAGGAAGAGAGGGGAAGTGCTGAGGAAGACGTGAGGCAGAGGCAGGTGGTGCGAGAAGTTCTTATTAACTCCCACCTAAAAGTCCTGTGGATTCTTTATTCACAGGTTATTTAAACCGTTTTCTTTTTTTCCACACGACATTTTTCCCTCTCCTAAAAAATTGGCTTGACTTCCTGCGAAATATTTCCCTGATGTTTCCACTTCTTCCTTGTGGAAAGTACATGCCAGATGAAGGTTTCACGATAGTATCTTGAAACCTGAATCTTTGCAAGCCATCCTTTTCATGTTTCTGGTAACAACAGTTTTGACCCTGGGAGACGCTGTGACCTTTGCTCAGTAAATTTGGCTCTCTCCTCTGTTTGAGCTCTGTGCTGTTTTGATTTTTGCTGCAGCTAAGTTTTGGCTGCGTGCTTTCTTTTACAGGGCTTTAAAATATTTACATAGCTGTTGTCAACAAATTTATCTAGCCATTTTTAGCTCCTTCAGGAAGGAGGACCTGACTTCTGATTTTAAATAAACATAGAAATACCATAAGAAACGAAACCTGCCCAATTCCAAAAGCTAGTCCTCAGACTTGCCTTCACACTAGCTTGCTACCAGCCCCACCAGCCCTTCGCTCGGCTTTGCCGTGGAGATACAGACACTGATAACAAAATTAAAGTGCAGAATAGGGGAAAACCTGTTGTAGACATCCTCACTGGTGCCATGGTACCTCTACGGCTTTCTATAGTGCCTGGCTTTACCCAGCAGTGACAGTCTTAGCAAAAGTAAAAGCCAATACCCCATGGCGAGGCTGTTGAAGATTTAACACCTGACGCTCCATTAGACAGTGACATTCGTGCTGGGACTCTAGCATATTAAATGCCATCTAGTCGTGTCACTTGGTGCCAGGACATGTACAGGCAGGAAGGGTTTTCTTTTTTCATCTGGTGATGAGCGTTGTCACCAAGCATCCTATGGCTGCCACCCTTCTCCCTAGTTTAAACAGAGTTTAGTATGGTGTGAATTTGGGTGGGAAAATGATCCTTCATGGCACTGGGAAGGAAAATATCCAGATAAATGCTACAAATAGTTGGAGCTGAGGTTGCTGGATTAATAGCTAACCCTCCCTCTCCTCCCCTCAGCACTTCAAGAGGGCCAGGAGTGTAATATGAGATGGGCTTTTAGATCCTTTGGGAAAAGTCACTAATTAGAGGTGAGAAGAAATGAGGAAAGTTGGTTTACCAGAAATCATGTTTCCCAAGGACCCTGATAGCCTAGGTATCTCCAACAAGAATTAAATATATTGTAGGCTGGGTAGTGACAGATAAGAATAAGGTCACTTTCAAGAAGACTAAATTAAGTAGCGCTTGAATTTACATGTTATATAAGAAAGGCAGAAGAAAAGCTTTCCCACTCTGGCATAAGAAGGCATGGGAGAGGCCTGGACAGCCCTAGGAGGGAAGGAAGATGCAAGAGAGGCCACAAGTGAAGGTTATGCAACTTTCATTTAGTTGAGGATTGTGTTTCAAATCTGCAGAAAGCAGCATGTTTCTCCCCTTGTTCCCTAGACAGAACGGCACAGTTTTACAATCTCCTTTTATTGTTTTGCTGATAAGCAGGCATTTCACATTTCTGACACTATACAAAATGTCCTTTAGAAAACTCTATCCGTGCCACGGCATTTTCCAGCTGGAACATTAAAACCAGATCTTGGCTGACCGGCTAAGTTTTCACCCCATAACACAGTGTCTCTGCTGTGGCTGGCCAAGGTACTCAAGTCAGTGAGGGGAGAGCCCGCTGGAGAAGCCGTCCCCTCTTCGCTTGCCCAAATGGGTAGCAGTGCAAACATACCCACTTCCAGACCTCTAGGGCAAGCGGTTTGGCATGAGCCACAGCAATTTGTTGAGTCCATGGCTTTGTATTGCTGGACATGACTTCGTATTTTCAGCCTGCAAACACTGACTGTTGGCCAAAGTTTAGTCCCATGCTGCTTGTAAGACCCCTACTGTGACTCATACTGTTACAGACCCATACTACTGCAAACAGCTACAACGTAAGTGGCTCTTCCTTCTTTGGCAGAACTCCCAAAAGGTTTCTCTGTATGATACAGACCTGCTCAGTCTTGCCCAACCTTCAACGCATGGACAGAGGGTTATCCGCTTCCCTGGAAAAACCCGTCTCCTGGCGTGGTAATCCTCACATCCTGAAATAAGCCACTTGTGTCACTGGCAACTGAACATAAATCTGTCTTGAGCATTCCTCTAACAAGCAACACGACATCTTGATTCCAGTTAAGTCTTGAGACCCGAAAATAGAGCTATCAGAAATTGCTCAATCAGAGGATATGGATCTCTGACAACAATAATATTTAAAAATCCTTACCAAAAATTCCTGAAGATGTTTTTTTTTCAAGAAAATAAACGAATAACACCTTCACAGGCCACCACAATATCATGTTTGTGCCTTTTTACTCAGAGGAAACACGTTTCTCAGCCTGCATGCCATTTTTGCCAGCTAACAAGAATACTTTATAACTAGGAACTTTGACAAAGATGAAAACACCTCACACCGATATGAGTCAGTTAGGCTTTATGTGCACGCCCTGGAAAAAAAGAATCTCAGGAGGAAAATCTCTTTTTAAATATATGCTTGCATTAAACACAGTTTTGTGACAGGCCTAGGAAGGCTATGCAAATCTGTGTTTTATACAGGAATGATATAAAGTTGCCCACCCCACAAAGCTGCCTTCTGCTTCCCTTCTCTTTTTAAAACACCAAAATAAATCAAAACACAAACACTTGATTTCTCTCCCAACTTTTGGATGCTGGTAAAAATGAAGTTTATTATTTCAGTAAGCTATTACTTTTTATGTGTAGCTAGCTGACCTCTGCTGGTGGATTCTTATCATAACTCTAATAATTCACAATACAGGTACAGATACATTGATATTCTGGAAAGGACTGCCCTATATACACAGAAGATATAATCCCCACTCTGAAAAACAGACAACTCCCACGCTGGAAAGGTATAAAGAAATTATATATAAGCCAGCTTTCTCTCCTCACTAAAGCTTTGGAGAGATGAATTATAAACAGGTATGAACATCTCTGGCTAGGGCCACTGGTGTTTACTCAACATATTTGTGGTCTAGATGGCACCTATTGCTCAGAAAGCCCCTACGCTTCATCCTGCGTGAAGCAGGGAGGCGATATTAGGGAAAGGATTAGTCTCCGCTTGCATTCCTATCTCGTAGGCTTTCTCGTGGCATCTGCTAACAGCCGTTGTGGGAGGAAGGACAGCGGCGAAGTGTGACTCAGCGTGGTCGCAGGCGCTTGCTCCGCTGTAATACAGCAGCACACTGGGATACGATGCCTAAAGGAAAAGGTTGCCGTTCACCTGAGCCGTTGCAATGCAACTTGCAGCCAGCAAGCTTGGTCTTTGTCATGCCCAAGGTCACTTCTATTAGTGCGAGGAAATACCACGCATACCAAGGGCGCCGTATCTCTTTATCAAAGGAGAAGCTGGCACGCCGCGCAGCGCCACCGGCCATGGTCCACCATGCCGTCCCGCACCATGGCTGCTGCCCCTCGCTTCCCTTTATGCTCAGGCTCTGGCCTGCTGAAACGCATACATTTGCCACGACACTGTCACGCTCGCTTCGCAAACACCCAGCGTCCGAGTGGCAGCCACCATGGCTCTGTGCAAAGTTGGCAAACGTAGATACGACAGAAAAACCTAACCCCAGCCTCAACGGAGCCAAGAGCGGGGCCAAAAGCAAAGACTGGGTGCTCATTTTCCCTGCCCGTGAGCATACACTTCCCTGGTGCATAACCTGCCAGGTGCCTCGCAGGACCCCAAAACACCCGCGACGCCAGGGTGCCCTGTGAGACAGAGGAGCCAGGGGCAGCAGCCCCAAGCCCGGCTCACAGCTGCTGCCTTGAGGCGCTTGGCCCTGGGCTCCCCTCAGGTGCCTGAGGGATGGCGCGGGGGCGCGCCCTGCGTTCCAACGGCCGCCCCAACGGCC